TTTTTTTTTCTCTAAAAGACAATAAAAAAATGTTCATTCTGCAGCTGAAATAGAATTCAGAGCAACAGAAACAATTCATATAAGGAAAACTAATATATTTGCTATTATAACAAAATTAAGTCAGATCCTCTGGATGGAAAAAAAATTAAATAATAATAAATAATTTAAAATATTATAAAAATAACAATAATAGTAAATAAATAAATTAATTAACTAATTAATTCATTAAAAATAATCATAAAAAGTAAAAAGAAAATAATTAAATAAAAATAATTAAAAATTAAATAAATAAAATAAATGAATTAAAACAAAAAATCAAATATTAAACTATTAAAAACAAATAAATAATTAAAAATTAAAAGAAAAAAGTGTTGAATCCGTCCAGAGGATCTGACTTAACTTCAAGTTTTTCAACCTGGATTACTGAGCATGCATCAGGATATATTTGCAATTGTTTTAGCAAAAAAAAAATTAGTTGTCCCTTTTATGTTGCTGCTTACAGGACGGTGGTGGTGGTGGTGGGGGTGGAGGGGGGTGCATCTGTTGTTTTGTCAGAGTCATGGCGGCTCTCCTGTTAATGTGACGTCAGGAGGAACAAACCAACAACCACAGATCTACAACTTCTTTTGGGAAAACAAGAAAATACTGAAAGTACGTCACTTTATCAGAGCTATACTGACAAAACTTACATTAAACCAAAAGTTAAATGATTTGAGCTGCAGAGAGACATTGTAAACCCAGAATTACAGCTAAAGATTTTTTTTTTTTTTTTTTGCTGTTTTGTGAAAAATTGTGCCTGAAACTTGTTCTGCTCGTTACAATGTTACCTCCACAAGGAAAAGAAAAAAGCCAAATCAAAGTTATATTTTATATTAGAACTGTTTGTGCCCCTCTGACCAACCTGTCAGCTTTTCATAGACTAGAATAATTAACTTTGTTATATCCACAGTTTAAATCATAGGTCACTTGAGGTACGGAGCAGTCTGTGAAGAAGTTTGAGAACGCCAAAGTGCACAGTCCGTTGTCCTCCATGGGCCCGGAAGCATCCTCAGACTGACAGAAGACCGGGGGCTGGGCTGGACCTGCCCGCAGACTCTCTCCTGGCTTCTTAGAGGGTCCTGAGCAGCTAGTCCAGGGCTCGGAGTAAAGGAGACCACTAACTAAATGGTGAGCGTCATAGGAAGCAGGATCCATGCCCCCCACGTCTGGCTGCCCCCGCAGAGGCACGCCCTGATAGAGGTCCTGCTCGCTCACCATGTTGCTGTAATCAGGTCCCAAGAGCTCAAAGAAGTCTGCCGCCTCAGGGCTGCCCCTCTCCAAGTCCTTCAGGGTCATCCCGGATGTGGAGCTGACTTTGGAGCAGTGAGCAGGCTCTGTAAAGAAGGAGGGTGGCAGATTGCGGTGCCTCAGGGGGGGCTTCTTTGCCCTCTCGCCCCTTACATCCTTCCCAGGGTCGAACAAAGCTGCCAGGCTCTTGCTCTGAAGGTTGGCCTGGCCCCCGTCCCGCTTGGGAAGGGTTTTGCTCTGCAGAGAGCTCGACTGGGCCACGGGGGACCCCTGCTTTTTCATGGGGGCTTCTGCTGCATTTCCGTTTGCTATGATGCCCGTGCACCGTTTGATCTGCTTCTGCAGGTACTTCCGGTGGTTGACCTTCCTTTTGGACTTCACCGGCTTGTCCAGGGCCAGCTTGATGTTGCTGGAGGCCGAGTCTATGAAGCTCAGCAAGTCCCTGGTGGTCTCTCTGAAGTCCTCGTCGTTCTCTGCCTCGCACAGGAGACCCCCGTCCAGGCTTTTCTCCATGTCGTACTCCATCACGGCGTCGGGGAAGCAGAAGCTCATGAACTGGGGGTTCATGATGGCAGTCTGAACAGCCATAGCTCTGCTGAGCCCAGAGGCTGCACCTGTGGCATCCACTGTGACCCCTGAAGCAGGAGCTCCTTCAGAGCATGGCTTTGTTCTGCGGGTGAACACTCGGCGCAGCTCGCGAAGCTTCCCATAAACATTCCACAGTGGAAGTGATGGGTTCAGAGGGTAGGAAGGAGATCTTTCAGGGGGGGCAGGACTAATGATGTCAGAACATCAAAGAGGAGGAGCAAAGGGACAACGGGACTTAACTCTTTGCTTGTGCCCGACCACCTGCATCTAAAAGGGATTTGTCTAAAATTTCCTGCTGAGCTGAAAACAAAACCCTCTCTCTTTGTGCTTTAACTGTTTGTGTGTGCCCTGAACCTCAAAGACCTTCATGAAACTTGAGGATATTACTGTAACCGCTCGAAGCAAAGCCCTTTAAGCTGATGGCGTCGTTTTCTCAGAGCTCTTACAGATCTATTACGAAACAAACCCCACTAATTCAAACGAGATGTATTCAAGTGATTCACGGCATCAAAATACCGCTAAACATTAAGGCTAGTACTATACACACAATCTTGACCCATAAAATAGTATTTATAATTTGATTTAGGCTATTTTTAGTTCTTAAGAAGTGACCAGATCACTGTTTTCCAGTTGTAAGAAAAGTGTTTTTCTGTGGGAAAGTCGTTTGTGCCCAAACAGATGCCGGTATTTTTGGGGGAGAATCTTGTGTCTTAATCTCCTCATGGCAAAAGTTGATTTCTAGTGCATTCCCAGGCCAGTGGGAATTTCTGCCCCGGCCTGACAACTATTATGGGCTGCCTTTGACATAAAGCCCTACAGGGTCTAAATAGCCTCTATTCTTCGGGCCGCGCTGAAAGGGAGCTTTGTGCCAGAGATTCATTAAATTGCACCTCACAGCCCCTTCGTAAAATGGGTCTCAATAATGAACAGTCGATTTAACTAGAAAAGCTGCCGGAGCTGTTAAATTAAAGGCGAATAAAGTGCAGTTCAGGCTCAGTGTGCCAGAAGAAACGGTGAGCTTAAGAAATCCTGGGTATGAAACTATAGCTGTAAACAATAACTTGTTTACAGGAAATTTACCGAGAGCACAGAGGAGGACGTGTCCAACGTCGCACGGTCATCCTGCCAGCAGGGTTTTGTAAAGAAAGTACATTTTCAGTCACAATTTTAGGAAAAGTCCCATTTATATATTTGTAGAATGGTGCTCGCTCCAGCTCTCTGTTTGTTCCCTGTTATTTTAAGATACAGGCAAAAGTGTACAAAGATAAAATATTTCCTCTAAAATTGAAAAAAACAAACATGTGAGAGTCTGAGAGACAAAAATTTGCCTGAAGCAGCTGAAAATGACAGAACTGAAAAAAAGTAACAATAATTGAGAGGCAGAGCGAGCACATTTTGTCCTTGTCTGTGTGTGTTTCTTTTTGTCTGTTAGTAAAATATCTCAAGAATAACTGAAATAATTTTAATGAAACTTTCAGAAAGTAGTCAGTGATTAAACACCTACAACTGACTAACTTTTGAAGTCAACTCAATTTAATATGGCCGCCACAGCAAAGCAATCATAGTAATCAAAATAATAGCTATAACTCAGTCAGTTATTTAGATATTGAGCTAAAATTTAATTTATTAATAGCTGAGACTGAGCCACAGTTTATACTCCGAGCGCTAAACGATCACACAAGATCTGTTTTTAAAGCTTCACCTTGAACTCTTGGTGTCAGCTCTATTCGTCTGTTAGTAAAACATCTCAAGAATCCCTGAATAAATTTCAATGAGACTTTTAGAAATTAGTCACTGAGTGTACAATTAAAACTGACGGACTTTTGGAGTCAACCCAATTCAAGATGACCACAATCAACTGACCTTAGGAAACACAAATGTTGCTACAACTAAGTCTGCTTTAAAGATATTGGGGTAAAATTTGACGTGGTAGTAGCTGAGAAGCATCCTCAACACGTGCTTTGAGTGCAACATGTTTAAAATCTTGGCATTAAGTGGTGAAACCAGTTTCAAGGTTTGACTGAATTAGCTCCGACACGTTTCAACACAAAATCTAAAACTGTGACAAGAAAGGCAGCGGGTGATATGCAATCCTTGTCCTGTTGTTTCTTCACCTCGTCTCTGATTTGATGGAGGCAAACAGAAACTTTACACCAGCAGCACAGTTTAGGCAGCATGACGTCACCACAGTCGTAGCAGCCGGGGATTTATTTATTTATTTTTTAGTTGGCAGGTTTTGGCTTTTGTGCTGGTAGCTCATTCAAACCACGGAGCCTGACACACAGACCCCGGAAACAAGTTTCTATTGTCGCATGAAAGCTGAGAGGGAGTGAGAGGGGGTGAGAGAGACGGGTGAGAGAGAGGGGTGGACCGATGGAGACCAACTCAAAGGACAAAAAAAAAGTGAGAGCACAGCTGAGGAGGCTTAGACTTGTTTTTGGTAAATCCTTCTTTAAAAATCTAATTCAGCTTCTACGTCAAATCAGAAAACAAGTTTTTAAATGAAAGGAATGCATATCACCCACCATATTTCATGCCAGTTTTCAATCACAGTCGCCGCCACGGGCACGTTTTTGTGCCGTGAAGCTGTAGATGCACATCTGATGATTACCTTCTGAGCGTCGTTCACATCAGTCCTGTGTTTCATGAGATATTTTGCTAACAGGCAAACAAGATTGACGCCAACTGTTAAAGCAAAAGTTGTAGGCAAACATCTGTAATGTGTCATGCTTGGAGTGCATGTTGGGGATGACGCTCAGCTACTACATCAAACAGGAGTTTGACAATGACAGGAGTTTTTGTGTTAATGTTGGTAATAGTGTATCTGCATCAGTGCCTCTTTCCTGTGGGGTTCTGCAGGGCTCGATTCTTGGATCCCTTCTGTTTTCACTGTATCTGCTACCTTTGTTGTCTATCCTGGAAACATTGTCTTTCTTTTCACTGCTATGCTGATGATTGTCAGATTTATCTTCTGTTAAAACCTAACAGTTCTTACTCCATTCACCCTCTGTTAAAATGTCTAGATGGCATCAAGGCGTGGACGGCTTCAAACTTTTTAAGTTTTAATGATCAGAAAACTGAAGTCATTGTGTTTAGCCCCAGCTCTACCGCGGTCTCTGTTCCTGTAAACCTTGACTCTCTTGCACCATATCTTAAGCAGTCTGTTACAAATCTTAGGATGGTTTTAGACTCTGATTTTAAGTTTAATAAACAGATTAATTGGGTTCTGCAGAAAAGCTTATAACAGTTAAGGCACATAGCCAAGCTTAAGTCAGATTTGACCTTGAAAAAATAGTCCATGGCTTCATTACAACCTGACTTGATTACTGTAACACGCTTTATGTTGGGGGACAGTCAGGTCTCTCTTTCACGTCTCCAGCTCGTTCAAACTGCTGCAGCTCGGCTCTTTACAGGAATTTGTAGGTTTGGCCTATTTTACCGGTTTTATCCTCCCTTCACTGGCTCCCTGCGCATCACAAAATAGATTTTAAAATTCTTCTGCTAACCTTTAAGTGCCTATGGCCTTGCACCCTCATAACTCTGTGACCTACTTCAATCGTATGTCCCTTCTCGGGCGCTGAGATCATCTGATCAGCTGTTTTTGGCTGTTCCAAAACCAGGTTGAAGCACAGAGATCGGGTTTTTTCAGTCATGGACCCTAAACTTTGGAACAATCTGCCTCTCAACATTAGACAGGCCCCTTTCACTTCCTGTTTTTAAATCTCTTTTAAAAACCCACACTTTTTCTCTGGCTTTTAACACAGAGTGATTTGATTTAGTATTTTATTGTTCTGTGTTTTTATGTTTTTCTTTTGATTTTTTTTTTTAATTTGAACCATTAAATTACTCCAATTGATTTATATTGTTAAGCACAGCTGCTGTCTTAAAAGTGCTTTATGAATAAAGTTGACTTGATTTATATCCATTTTTATGTTTCTAAAAGTCAGTGGCAGTGGCGGCCATCTTGAACTGTAACGACTACAAAAAGTTCATCAGTTGTAGATGTTCATCCAATGAGTTCGTTCTGAGTTTCATTCAAACGGTTCATGAAATAATTTGCAAATGGCACGAACAAACGAGACACAGGTAAAAACATTATCACCCTTTTAGTGTTGAAAGATGATGACAACTTGTGATTATCATGTTCTCAGTCGTTATCCAGATATTGTCGCCCCCACGGTCTGTTGTCACAAAAATGTCCTTATTCAGCAGAACTGAGCCCCAGAGGATGGGGGTGATGTGACACGCAGGCCTAATCTCATCCTTAAGAGTGTGTGGTCCCCGTCTGAGCAGGGACACACTCAAAAGTGAAGGTTGAGCGAATACTAATAACAACTCTTGATTGATGACGATTGTCAGTGAGCTAAAAAAAAAGAAGGAAAAAAGCGGGGGTTGCAGCATAATTAATGACCTCTCAAAGTCCTGAGAAGCGTCTTAAGAAGGGTGTTTGGCGAAAGAGACCCTGTCCTCCCTCGTGTTTAGCAGTTTTTCTTCCCTCTGAGGAGTCTGAAATTCAGTCAGGCCTGTGACAAAATGTTGAAAAGTCCCGCTTTGTGAGTCCTCGTGGAAAATGAAGTCCACATCACAGAGCTGGACATGTCTCTTCAGGGACGTCTGCTTTAACAGAGGAGAATGTAGAGTGTGGGGGGGAAATGGCCTCCACAAAGAACAAGAGAATAAGACGACATGTTTATTTCTCATGAATCACTAGCAAATCAAAACTAGAGAAAGTGCCGTTCCTGCAAAAATGCAGTGAATACTTAATGCTTAAGAACTTGCTGAAAAACAGCTGAAATTAGCTAAAAGGATGCTGAAATGTAGCTGACGTGGAAGAACAAGCCTAAGTTATCAGAAGAAAGCAGAAAGGACATATTTTTGCTGAATTAGATTTAAATACAGAAATTAGCTCAAAAAGCTGAAATGAGCAAAAAAGAGATGAAAACTAGCTGAAAAGGCAGAAAGATGCTTAAATTACCAGAAGGAAGTGGGATGAGCTGAAATAAGCTTAAAAAATGTGGAATTAGCTGAAAAAGCTAAATTTAGCACAAAAACAGCTAAATAGTAGCTGAAATAGCAGAAAAAAGTTGAAACTAGAATAAATAAGCTGAAAGGAGTATAACAAGCTGAAATTAGCAGAAATAAATTTACTGGGCTGAAAGTAGCAGAAATTATGACGAAAAACTTGAACTGAACTAAAAACAGCTTAAATTAGCTAAAAATGCTAAAAACTAGCTGAAAAGGTAGCACAAGCTTAAATTAGTAGAAGAAAGAACACGTTTGCCCTATTAAGATGAAAGAAGCAGAAATGAGCACAGAAATGTGGAAATTATCTGAAAACAATCTGACATTAGTCAAAAACTGCTGAAAGCAGTTTTAAAAAAGCGGAAAGAAGTTTGAATTTCCAGAAGGAAGTGGAGAGAGAGCACATTTTTGCTGAATTAGGCTGGGAAAAAACTGTGTGCAACAAATGTGGGTGGAATTAACTGAAAAAGTTTATTAGCATTAAAACAGCTAAATAGTAGCTAAAATAGCAGAAAAAGCTGAAACTTGCATAAATAAGCTCAAAGGAGCATAACTAGCTGAAACTAGCAGAAATAAGTTAGAAGAAGCACAAAAATATTGTAATTAGCAGAAAGAACCTGAACGGATTACAAAACAGCTGAAATTTGCTGAAAATGGTTTATAATTTGCACAAGGAAAATGAAAGAAGCTGAACCAGAACAAAATGTGAAAGAAGCAGTAAAAGGTTGTAAACACATCTATGGTGTAGGAGGGGCAGGGCAACCGACTCGGGACCCGAAGGTCCTGGTTCGGTCCCCTGTCATTGCACATCTTGAGGTGTCTCTGAGCAGGACACCTAATCCCGAGTTGCTCCCCGGGCGCTTACATAGCTGCCCACTGCTCCACCTGGGTGAATCTAGGTGCGATGGGTTAAAGGCAGAGAACCAGTTTCGTCTTTGTATGGGAACATACAATAGCACTTTATTATTAATTTATTAAAGATTTGAAGGATGTAAAATGAGCTCAATTCATTTCCTATGAGGAAAAAAAAAATGGGAGAAAAGGCTAAATATTTCAAAAAGCTAAAGTTGCACCAATACCAAGTCATAGGATTGTCCCGAACGAGCTGAACGTTTTATGATCTGTTGAAATAGCTTGAAAACTGCGGGACGACAATCGCGTTGAAAAATGTACGGAAGAAAAATGTCTCACAATAGTGCGAATGCTTCATAAGTGTTCACACAATTAGCCATCATGAAAATGTCCGTCACTCAAATAATTTTATGGATATTGAGCTAAAACTTGATTTGCTGCCAGTTGAGTCTTAACACAGATTCTGAGCAAGTTTTCAAGTTTTGACTCGAACGGCTACAATTACATCATTTCTCAGCAGAAGATAATCCACAGGAATAAAATGGTATGAATGCCTTCAAAAGACTGCTGAGCCTTTAATTTCATTAGCATTTAAATTGTTTTTTTAAGTTAGTGTTCTCGTGACATTTGAGCATTATATCCTGGCATTAAAAAAATAATAAAAATGACTCGGTTGTGAAGCACAAAAGGCGTCTTGGTCTCTGGATTCCTGCATCATGTCATCATCACCTCGTCTCAACCTCTCCAGCACCACAGGACCCGTATTAATAATATTACTCGGGGGGGGGGGGGGGGTGGGGGACAGAGTCTATGGGCTGCTTTGGTGCCACAGTTTAGACTTTTAATGGCAGCCAGTGAATGAATGTGTGCAATGAAGAATCCCACAGGTCGGTCCACAGGGGTGAGGTCAGCAGGCGTAGCTGCAATGACCTCCCACCTCTCACTTTATTGGCCTCCTCCGATTGGGTTTTTTATTAAATCTCAAGGATGCACATTTGTTCTGGCTTCCTGAAATTTGAACTTCATTGCCCTTTAATTTTACTTAAACGTTACAAAAAAAAACGTCCCTTAACAGAAAACTGTTGGTTTTAAACGAGCGGGAGGTAATTCTTGAAAAATCTTAAAGAACAACAACAAACAAAAAAAAACGTTTACTCATTTTAAATTTAAATTTAACCTGAACTAGGGATGTTCTTTGACATCTGGAGCTAAACTAATCGCTTAAGTATTACGTTTAATTTTATAGAATAAACATTTTAGAAGAGTTTGAAGGATGCCAGAGCAGCTCGATTGTTGATTAATCTAATCTACACATTGACGTGTAAACACTTTAAGGTGCGTAACGAGAACTCAGATCAAAATAAACGTTAAACCTGCTATCATCGGATAATTATGGTCACCATGGTAACAACACAACTGTCCCTGATCGACTGAAAATGAGGCCTCAAACAGTCAGAGTGAGAAAACTGTAAGCCAGATGTTAAAACCTCTTGAACCATGAGCAGAAGATGCTGATGGTCACACACGTGAACTCTTATGTTTCTTGTAGAAGATAGGACAAGTTGAAAGAGAATACTGTCAGCTTTAGTCTGTGGACGCTTGGGTGTGCCCTCTCTACATGCTGGAGGAAAATGAGAGTAAACCGTAAATCATTTAGCTGTGACAGACACGCAGGCCGAAAGAAAAATACAGCTGTTTGATGTGTAACTTGTTTATGTATCAAAAACAACTGTGAGAGTTCGCAAATTCTTTAGAAAATTAAAGACATTTCAAAAGTTGGGAAGCAACATCTTCAGCTTCCAGGTGAACATTTTATGAAAAAAAAAATCTCTAAAAATTACAAATTGCAGGAAAATAGTGCAAAAATCATAAAAAGGTATCCAAACACCACTCGTGAAGTCCAAACTGTCCTTGGTTGATGTTTGCACCGTGAAGCACGGCTGAGCCGTACATCTCCAAACAGGGATAGTTTTTTTTTTTCTTACGTTTTGCCACACGGCACACTACTCCCATCAAGCTGCACATCTCCATGTGTAATTTGAACGTTGCTTTTGAAAGCTGTGCAGCAATGCAGGACAACATGTTGTTTACAAAATAGGATACTTTAATGGTTATGCACTGGAACCAATATTTAAAAGTCAACAACAGCTATTGTGAAGATAAAAAGCAAAATCTGCAGAGGCAGATAGGGACCTATGTTTTTTAAGAAATTGGCACGTAGCTAATGACAAGCGGGTTGGAGGATTGAAGAGAATTTATCATTGTTGATTTATTTTACACATCAATTACAATAATTTTACGATGCTCTGTTCAGCAAAATAAGCTACACGGTATTGCTCCCTGCTTCGGCTGTGCTGAGAGTCGTGTGCAGCTCGGCCATGACTTGAAAGTAGTTTGCATGCGCCCTCTGCTGGATAGACTACAATTATGCCATTTGCAAGTAAGGGCGTGGCTCATTCCCAACATTTCAGGGGTGAAAATGAGAAATGCTTATATCGGCACATAATGGGACAGTTATCACCGATACCGATATGTCCCCAAACGCCTGTATCGGCCTAAAATATCAGTCCTACCGATACATCGGTCGGGCTCTAGATAGTGTAGCAGATTTACCTTTGTCTTCAATCGCTTTAAAAATGTACATTTTGGCATTAAGACATGGAGTGTGTAAAGGTGAAAAATTGTTTCGATATTACAACCTGAAAAAAAAACCCAGAACCTGATTCAAAAGGTTAAAAAAAATAATAAAACTTTGGTGTTTTCAGCCAAAGAGCACCAAAAGTCCATAGCGTACTAACTAAAGCTAAATCTCAGACATAAACATCCGGGTCAGGGAGACTTTCTGCTGTTTTTTGGAGACTGTTTCTCTTCCAGTTGCCTTTTGATATTGTTTGATCCACTTCTGAAAATACTTCAGCTCTAATGCTCGGGCAGCTCGGACTGAGGGGGGGTCCAGGTTGTTGCTGTATCGGAGATCCAGGTGATGAGCTCCTTCAGGAATCAAGATGGAAACCACAGATTGTGTAACGTTCTGAGTCACTCCACCAGATGACCACGGGTCCAGTCCACCGTTACTGAGAGCACAAAGACATGAACTGAGGAGTGGACGCAACATGTGAACAGTCCTGTTTCCAAAAACTGAGAACAGAGTTGAAAATCTGAAATCATCTGGGAAGATTAGCATTTTCTGCTAGCATGCAGTGCGAGTGCTGAAAAACTGCTGAAATTTGTTGAAGAAGCTGAAACTGACAGTTATAATTAATACAACCAGAACTAAAGCTTTTTTTTTTTTTTGGCTAAAATTAGTTAAAAGCCAAGACAAATTAAACAGTAACTATAAGCAAAAATTATTGCACCAGTAGCTAAAATAATCCAAACAGCAGCTAAAAGCTAAAATTTTCACAATAGCTAAAAGCAAAAGCTGGCAACACATTAGATAAAATTACCAAAACAGGAGGTAAATGCTAAAACCAAGCTTTTAGCTTTCAACAGTAGCTAA